GTATGTGATAAGTACATATGTTTAGTTTGATCTGAAAGTGATTAAAATTGGATTCTCATATCATCATGCTTTTTCCTGTTAAATGTTGCAACTTGAACATCAATCTGAGTTACAGTTTGTTTTGAATGCTACCATGTGTTTTGACTCACTCATTAACTCATATGTAGTATGCTTGTATGATTGTTTGGATTTGAAACTGGCTGGTACTTGATCTACAACTCAAAATGCAGAACACACACTCATAATGCACACACTATCGGGTTTTAAAATGGGAGCCTCATCTTGAAAAACCAATTCCACTATCGTATTTCTCATGAAAAAATCCTTCAATTTGCACTAAAGGTTTGTTTGATTCCATGAAAAAATGGCTGAGTTATGACACAAAATGTAAATGCTGATTTTATGTGTTTGCCCAGCTTGCCATGTTTTTCCCCTTATATGCTTATGGGGGTGGCTTCATCAACGGATGTAAAGCCACCCTAGTGGTAAGAACCTTGCCAAAAGCGCGCCTTTGACCAATTGAACCTGGGTTCGACCCCTGAGGAGGGCAACCCTTTTGGTATTTTTCACCATTTTTCATCCAATCTTCATAAATTCATATCTTTCTCATTTTTCATCATTTTCGATTGATTCTTTTTGCAACATGCTTGTTTTAAAGTCTATTTTCATATGATTTAAAACTATTTCAAGTTGTTCTCACATATGATGCATTTTGTCTATAGGAACTTTGTTGTTTTGTCGAGATCGTTATCTTGCTTGCTGTTGAACCTCCTTTAATTCATGCTTGAATTTTCTTATGAGATTGTTGCTTCCCATGTTAGTTAACATGCTAGGGTTTACTATCCTTTGGTTGTCACCATAATCCCATGATATTTTCCTCATAAAGTATGAGGTTAAACTAATTTACTCGTGTTTGATTGTCATCAAATACATATTGTTGTTACACTTGATATATCTTGAAATTATAACATGTTTACTTTCAAATTGTGATTTGTTTACACGGTTGTAACTTTCATCTTTTCCAATCTTTGTTAAAATATGTTGTCACCTTTGTTAAGATCCCTTTCCATCTTTGTTATGATGTTTCCCCATCTTTGTTAAGATTTGTTCTTGGTTGTGACCATCTGTCTTAATTGAAATCATTAATATTGTAATACTTGCTTTGGTTGTGACCATTTATCGTGATTGAAATCTTTGCCTGATATTGTAATATCTTAAATGCTTGCTTTGGTTGTAACCATTCATCCTGATTTAGATCCTTGCTTATTATAATATGCTTGATCATTCTTGGTTGTAACCATATCCCTTATATTCATCATATGTGAATGTTTATACTTTGTTAAGTTTACTTTCCCCAAGTGATGGAACTCTTTAGTTCTCATCCAAGTTGCGTCATCTTTTCCCTTCCAAAGGAAAGTCTCTCTATTGACCCTTGGGTCATAGATAGATCATTAAACTCATAGGTCTGGATAGAACCTTCCCCTCCTTTTGGTCTGGATAGAACCAATAGGATTTACATTCATAGGTCTGGATAGAACCTTCTCCCCCTTTTGGTCTAGATAGAACCAATAGGATTTAAACATCATAGGTCTGGATAGAACCTTCCCCCTTTTGGTCGGGATAGAACCAATAGGATACCCTCATAGGTCTGGATAGAACCTTCCCCTCCTTTTGGTCTGGATAGAACCAATAAGATTTAAACTCATAGGTCTGGATAGAACCTTCACCCTCTTTTGGTCTGAAAAGAACCAATAGATCCTTATTCTGTAGTTCGGGCCCGAACTACGACCGCTCTGATTTCTCATTGGACAATGAGAATACGTAGGCACAAGATGCGATATCTTGACGAGCAACCTTTCCCTTTCTCCCACCTTTTGGTCTGGATAGAACCAATTGGTCTCACAACGTAGAACTTTAGGATAGAGTTTGGTTAACTCTATGTAAGAATCATGGAAATGATTATTTACTCCCCTTTCTTGAGTGTTCAACATAGATCTAGAGAGTTTCGTGAAACTCTACACAAGCATGAATATGTTTGTTCCCCTTTGAGCCTTTATCATAATCAAGTGTTCTTCATCCCTTGTGAGGTGAACTACGATTGCTCTGATTCTATCCTAGTTAGGATACGTAGGCAGAGGACACGATGTCTTTGCGAGCAAACTTAGAAATAATCCTTAGGTCTTTACCTATCACCCTACACCTTTTACCCAATCCCAATCCATAGCAAACATTTACCAAACTTAGCATGCAAACAAACAAAAGATTCCTGTAGAGTACTACAGATGTTTAAGATGTGGAATACCTACCCTAGACATAACCAACCCTCGATCCCCGAATCTCTTAGCGTTGTTGTTACATCGCGAAAAGGGTTTTTCTTTCTTTAGACCTTTCCTTTGGATAAATTAAAGTCCGGTTGTGAACTTAAGAATTAAAGATTCAAGTTAGTCAATAGCTTGGTATCACGATTCTCACCGCAACCAATACACATCACCATTTAATGTTATATAAGTTATACTTGTAACCTAAGTTATCTTTCCAATCCATTTATCTAGTTATAAGCCTAGGTTTCCCCCACTCATCTTTATATGGTTTTAAAAATGTTATTTCACATTCAACACAACAACAATGATTATCATACATTACAATATGATTCATAGCATTCATAAGTCACACGATGTAATATATCATGGTGTGTGTGTGTGTATATATATCATTTTTATGTAATTTTGTAGGTTTCAGAGCCTATTAGAGGCATAAGAGGTTTCCTAATTGCACTAAGTGGGCTCTGGTGGGGGTTAGCATCATTCCGCTTTCTTTGTTAGAAACTTTGAAGGACGACTTATTACAACTTTATTCCCACTTCATTCTAAGACCCGTTCAGATCAAAATCATCAAGAGGCATCATACAACATATAATCATGCTTATTCAAATTCATGATTATCATACTCAAACAATAATGACATTCAACATATAACCCCACAATAAACACGAAGAACACAACCAAACATCATTCATAGAAACTCATGGCTATAAGAACATAATTAATTCTATCATGATTTTTCTAACCATTCTAAGAATCTAGTAAACCCTAACTTCTAAAATCAAAGTTCTACCTAAACCCTACCTTAATAATAGAAGAAGAGATTGATGAATGTTGTCGTTTGTGAATGACGAGATGAAGTGAAGTTGATGAATCCAAGTTTCCCCTCATTCTTCTTCTTCCACGAGCTTGTTCCTCTTCTTCTCTATTCTTCATTTTTCTCTCTTTCTCTTATGTTGTTACTAATACAAGAAGGTGGAATGATACGTAACAAGAAAGAAAAGTTGGTAAGGATATGTGGTACAAATTGAAAGAAGAATTTATGTGGTTGAGAGTGAATAAGAGTAGTAAACGAATATCTCAAGTGATACCTCTCTTAATTATTTGTTCTACCATAAAAATTGACCCATTATTACTGGTATCAAAATGTCCAAATTGATAACAGGTCAGTTCCAAACAATATTAATTAAGTCAATCTGAGCTTACTAGTTATTCCAATTATCCCAAGTGATAATTTTAGAGCACATAGGAATTCAGTTAATCTCAACTGATATGAATTGGAGTATTTAAGAAAACACGAGGTATTACATTAGTCCTTTAACTTTTAAAATCGTATTAAGTTAGTCCTTTTTATCTAAGTGGAAGTACCGACATTAATCATCGCTAATGTGACAAGTGACATGAAACATTCAAGTTTTGTGACCGATTTAGCGACAGAAAAATCAGCCACTAAAAGAAATTTTCTGGAATTTTAATATCATCTTCGTCTTATTCATTATATCATCTTTATTGAGCAATATATAAGTTAACAAATTATCCCTCTTAAAGGCTTCACAGTTTTAAATTGCGGCTTCACAGTTTTAAATTGCGGACCACATCACGTGATATGGCTGCAGTATTGTGATTGCGATATTGTCAGCATCCACGTCAAACCAAAATTGCGGTGTGATTACGTATTACAATAAAAAAAGCTGCATCATATCTCCGCATTGCCATCCAATCTATAACTTATTGAGACTCAATACAATAAATTACTCATAATTAAAAATTCAATTAGAGAAAAAAATGAAGAATATAAAAAGTGAATGAAAACCCAACCCGAATTTTAAACGATAAACTACCCCAAAGCGAGATCTATTAGTAGCAGCTTCTGAAATAGAATCGTTACTCTCATTGCTTCTCCGTTTTCTAGTCACACCATTTTCAACATCTTGTAAGTTTCAACTTTCCCTTTCTTTTTTTCGTTCTATCTTTTTCTTAAAAAAATTTGTGCGATTTTTAGGTGTTTCTGTTTGTTTAGCCGTCTATTTTGCATCAATTTGGAATTGAAATTTATAAAACTTGATAAACTGAAACTATGTTAACAGTTTATTCAAAATTTCTATTATGTCTACCAACTGTTTGTTCAAATGCCTGAATGGAATATCTTTGTATATCTGAGCTTTTGTCATGTGAAAACTTATTTTGCTGTTTCTTTAATTTGAGTTCTTGAATCTTCTGTAGTGGTCATGGCTTTTGATTTGTGAAAACTTCACGCTGTTTGTTTACATTGATGATTGTGGATCACAATGTTATGCTGCATGATCTATGTGGTTAGGATGATAACTTTCAAATAATTAGTTGGAAAATCGTAGTTGCTTGAAGTGCATGGTCATTGCTATATAAGTTATTGAAGAATTTTGTTAGAATGTTAACAACTTGTGTTAATCATTTGGAGAAAAATACTAAATGTTGATCTTGCTAATTCATGGCTCATCAACAATAATGAACCTACATTTAAAGAAATGATACTTTGTGATTGTGATATCATGTTAGCCCTGTGTTCCGCTTTTCCTTTAATGAATGACAGCATTAAACTAATTGATAGCTTCAGATTTAGAAAGCTTCATGATTTGCATTGTGATTTATTTTATTTAGATTTGGAAATTGTTGAAGTTTGTTTCTTTATATAGGGATTCAATGGCTACATTGAGAAGTCTGAAGATTAAGACGAGTACATGCAAACGACTTGTGAAGGAGCTAGATTCTTATGAAAAGGAAGTTCTGAGAGAATCTGCCAAAACAGCTGATATGAAGGACAAAGGAGCTGACCCTTATGATATCAAACAACAGGCAAGCAAAATATTTTGCTCACTTGATGCATAGATTTAAGTTCTTAATCTGTTTAGAATGGATTATTGTGTCTGTTTTAAATTAGCTTATAATTTTGGTAAAAATATGGATGGTATTTTTCTCCTTAAAACTTGTTCAATTCCAATTTGCAAAGAAGCATACTTCATAATTTTTCTCCTTAAAACCAGTCGCATTTTTTACCTAGTCATTTCCTTTCCCTTCTATATCATATTTATATCTTATGTTGACTTCTATTGGACAGGAAAATGTGCTGGCTGAGTCTAGGATGATGCTTCCTGACTCCAGGAAGCGTCTGGAGGCCGCTTTGGAAGGCTTGAAAGCAACATTGGTACATATATTTCTTGTTTATGTGATTGTTGTATATCTTTTTGTTTTCTGCTATTTTGTGTTGTCATGGACAATGTTAACCATGTTGTCATGTTCAGCATCTGATGCTTTGGCTTTATAATCTAATCATACTCCTATTGCAATATCACTTATAGTTCATATGATATCTCGTGCTGACATGTCTTCATATGGTAATTGGACCAAATATCAGTTAGTTAATTATGTTAGCTGAGTGAATTTATTATTGCAAGCCACTAATTTCATACCCTTCACTTCTCCCCTCCCTACATATGTTGTATGGCCTAATAAACTTGCCACTTCAGCACTGGCAACTAACTGTCTCCCCTAAGCGTTTCTTTTTCCTTAACCATATAATCCAAATTCCGTGCTTCCAACAATGGGCCCATTAGCTTATTCACTCACGTCCCAAGCTCTATCAAATGTGACGTGACATTGCTTTGTCTCAAGACTTAGGTTTGAATGTAGTAACACAACTCAAAATATTCAAACATATTCACTTGTGAAATTGTTGGGAAATGAACTTCTTGCACTCAATTACACTCCAAGTAAAAGAGCTCAAACTCTGCAAACATAGTCATTGACAGTATCCACCTGCTTCAATTCATTTGGTTCTTTATGCTGATAGTATTTTTGAAATAAAAGATAACCTATAATTTATAACTTCTCATACGGCGATCACTGCTCCTCTCAGCTACACTCTCATCTACGCTCTCGCCACACTATTCATTTTGCTCTCTCACCTAGTCCCCCAATAACACTATTTGGCCTAACTAATCTGCTCAGTTAATGAAAGCATTATCCCACTACCGAAAGAAAATGGTTATTCTTTTTTAGCATGTTAAACATTTTGTAGTATTTGGTATAATCATGTTTTGCTGCATTTTGCTCTCATGTTTATGAACCAATTCTTGCATTGTTCTCATGTATATGAACCAATTATTTTCAGTATGCAAAAGAGAAGCTATGGCTTTCATTCCTAATGCTTAATCCAATTTTTAATTGAGTATTTTTTTGTCTGCTTTCAGGCCGAGTTGTTGGATGAGACTGAGGAAAAGGAAGGCCCTGAAATTGATGATGCTCGAAACACCATTGCAGAAGTTGAAAATGTATTTGAAACACCATAAGCTGAGCAGGGTAGTATTACTAGTGTCTTCGGTGGATGATATTATGGTTTTTGTGTAGAAAAAGGTTGCGAAACTTTTAACATTTAAACCTTAAACAGTTAATGTTTTGGTGGAGTCTACTTTCTAAGGTTGATATATTTGTTTTTAAATGAATCTAATTAAAAAGCTAGAGTCAAAATTGATATAAATTAGGTAACATTAATTTGTTAAAAAACACTCCATAAAAGATATAATATGGGAAATTTTTAGTACATGGAAATGAAGGAGGATTAATGAAAGGGTGGGACCAATGGACGGTGCCGATTTGTTTTTGTTTAAAAGATGGTTTGATCAAACGGTGTGTGGTGATTGAGTGTAACAAGTTTGATTTGAGATAAAGGTGATTCAAGCAAAGCAGAAAATCTAAAAGTACTCTAAGAAAGTAGAATTTTTTTAAACACTTAAAAATAACAATGCTACATTATTGCTGTTTATATAAAATAAAATAAAATAAGTACTTTATTACTACCTATACGAGTCACTGTTTGCTAATATGTTTTTCAATCTTTAAGTCTACATTTTCTGTAGCTATAACAAATATGAGGAAAGATATTTCTACACCAAAATGTGATAATTAGACTGTATTTTTATACGGTTTGGTTTTCATTATATGTTTAATAATTATATTTTTACCTTTTCTAATACAAATGAACCCATATTCATTATGTATTTTACTTGCTCTAAGAATACGGTGCAGGAATTTTGTGGAAAAATAGCAATTCTCAACTGCTATGAGTAATATTTAGAGCTATTTATAGGAATAATATCTGATGCTACTATTTATAGGAGTAATATCTGGTGCTACTTTTTATAGTTACATACCTATTTATTTATAGTCCTTTGCCATGTGATATAGGAGGGATTTATTGAATATATTCAAAGTCTTCGACTTTGAAGAAAAACATACGAAAGGTACATTTGATTTGTGACCTACGCTTTTGACCGAGCACGTCGATAGTATATGTTTTTCTTTATCATCGATTAAAATTTTTTAACAATTATAATAACTTTTAAACTAAAAACATTTAATAATTATTAAAATTACAAATAGTTTTTTTTAGATATTGTAAAAGCAAAACATCAAAACAACTTCATTTTAAAATTTGTAAGTATATATTTTTACATTAGTTAATATTTTATAAATATCTAAGCATCAAAATTCGTCATGTTATCTACATTTATATCATTTATCCTGTATTTATATTAAAATTATAGAATTTTATTTTAAAATGACTATTTTTTCAAATTAAATATCAAATAAATTAATAGTTCAAATTTATTATGAAAATAATCAAGTTTTGAAATGAAGGAAAGAGGAGTCGCCATTGTGATTGACGAATTCATACATCTTTATACATAGATGTCATTTCAAATAATTCGTGCTTGTATGTGTTGTCATTAGAGATGACACATACATTCATGCATTAAGTGCACACACCATTTTAAATTACACATCCTTTATATATTAAGTGAATGCGTCATTCCAAATGACGCATCCTTTATATATATGATCTTATCGGATTAGAAAAGGATCAGCAGCATGCCACGCGTCGTGAGCTTCTATGTTCACAGGTGTTGAAGAGGAGGAGGTGTACCTGCAAGGTACTCCGATGTCAAAGTGAGTAATAGAGTTAGAGAGAGAAAATACAGAGAAAATGTGTAGAGAATGAAATACACGCCCCTCTAGTAAAAGAGACTCAAGTAAAAGAGAGTATTTATAATGTGCCTCAAGCGCAGGGTCAACAATTACTTTGCATTGGGTCGGATTGCAAGGCCTAATACGAGTAACTGCTAAAGCTTATGTGGCGTAGGGAAGACCAACACATGGTCTTCACCCTGGATCAGCTGTCTCATGATCTTCGGAAGGTGGACTGACCAGTTCTTTCAAAAGTGAGTAGTTGTCTGATGACGTGCCCCTGCGTGGGGGGTACGTGGAGTCCGTGGGGAAGACGCGTGAGTTCTCCCCGTGCTAGGCAGTGGCCTGTCCGACAGGGAGGAGGATTGAGCCTCGTTGAGTATCCCCGATGTGATGTTGGGTTGGATCTGCTCAACCGTGGGGCAGGTAATGACCCAGTTCAGAACAACATATATATTTTAATAATTCTCTTCCACCCATTCAACAAAATTATTAAAATAAAAATATATATAAAGGATGCACCATTTGAGATGACACATGTACTTAATATATAAAAGATGTGCCATTTAAAATGATACACGCACTTAATATATAAAGGATGTGCCATTTGAAATGACGCATGCACTTAATGCATACAAACATGAGCCATTTGAAATGGCGCCTACGTGTTAAAAGTGAATGTATTAGTCAATCAAAATGGTGATTTCGTTTCGAAAAATGATTACTTTCATAATAAAATTGAAATATTAATTTATTTCATAATAATTATAAGACTGTTTTGATTTGGTTACTTTCATAATAAATTTAATATAATCTTATAATTAATGATTTTATTATTTTTTTTCGTATATGTTTTCTATTTGTGAGATTTTTAACATGTGTTATAAGGACACAAGTTAGCATTACCGATATTTATATAACTTGTTTACAAAAACGTATTAATGTTGCACATAAATAGCAGAGACAAATTTGGAAGCTGAAAGGTTCTTCTTTGACTTCTTACAACATTGATTAATATATAATTAAATGTTAAATAGATAAGGTCAATTCAACTTGTTTTGAAATATCATCTTCATAACTTAAATCGATCATTCGATTTATTTTTTTTCTTGTTATTTTTCTATGCTTTACTACTGTTTTTCTGTGACTCATTTATGGACATTTTATAATTTATAATAATAAAAAATAATAGTAAAAAGTGTTTGCGATGTGATGTCTATAACAATATTGATATATTGATTGGAATAAAAGAATTAATGAAAAAACAAGTATTTATTTAATTTTTACATGTACATTTTGGTATCTAAAAATTAACCACTGTAAACTTCTTTAAAAATTTGAGATATAAGTCCGACTCAATATTGAAGGTAATTAGAATTCAAAAATACACAAATTTAATAAATGAATGACCGCGTTAGATGTAACACTAATTTTGTTTTGTAGAAATTACACTATGTAGTTTTTATTTTTTGGATAACACAATTATTACTAAAATGTCATTGCAGATATACATTTAACATCAGAGACTTCATATCAAATATATACTTATGCGATTTTAAATAAGGTTTTATTAAAGTTTATATATAATGTATCGAAAAGGTTTAAGAGGCCTTGAATAAGAGCATATTCAATGAACATTAACCAAATTTCTTGAAATTCAACTTAAAACACAAAGCTCAAATATTCAGGTCAAATGAATCATTGAAATTGATAGAACAATCATGCAATGATGCATCAAGAAATGAGATGAGATTGGTGAAAACTGAACTATATGAAACTTGCAGTAATTGCATTACATTGTACACCACATAACATTGGCTTTTATAACAATCCAACTAACTAACAAAGTGCCTTAACTAACTAACAGAATTACAAAGCTAATAGACAATTGATGTTATAACGGATGCTATGACATCCACTACTGAACAGACTATTAAGTTAATACACCTCCTTAATTCGATTAGTTAGATGCTTCCACCATGCCTAGCTTCATCCTTAGATCATCAAGTTTGCTTGTTTTCAGCGGTTTTGTGAGCAGGTCAGCCAATTGCTCATCTGTTTTGCAGTAGCTCATCTCTAACTTTCCATTATTCACTTGTTCTCTTAAAAAGTGAAATTTGGTTTCAATATGCTTACTTCTACCATGTGCTACAGGGTGTTTTGCCAAGTCTATGGCTGATTTACTGTCAACTCTGAGTTCTACTCTTCCATTCCTTATCAGCTTTAATTCAGTCAATAACATGTTTGTCCACTGAGCTTGACAGGCTGCCATGGAAGCTGCTATATACTCAGCTTCACATGAGGATAAAGCCACCACTGGTTCCTTCTTTGAGCTCCATGCAAAGACTGCATTTCCAATCATAAACACATATGATGATGTACTCTTCCTGTCATCTTTATCACCACTCCAATCTGAATCTGAATAGCCTATCAACTCACCTCCTTGATCTTTATAATATTGAATTCCATACTTGTATGTACCCTTCACATACCTCAATATCCTCTTGGCTGCGATTAAATGAGAGGTGGTTGGCTTCAGCATGTACCTACTGATCAGCCCTACACCATATGTAATATCAGGTCTTGTGTGACACAAGTATCTTAGGGAACCAACAAGCTGTTTGAACAGAGTAGGATTTACTTCCTCTTCATCATTCTCCAAGGATAACTTTGTCCCTGTATCAACAGGAGTTGCAGCTGGCTTGCAGTTTACCATGTTAAACCTTTTTAGCACATCTTGAGAATATTTCCTTTGATGAATAATCATTCCTTGATCATTTCTGTCAAACTCAATTCCTAGGAAGTATGTGAGTCTGCCTAAGTCAGACATCTCGAATACCTTCATCATGTTTTCCTTAAACACCTTCATTTCAGCTTCATTGTTTCTAGTCACTATCATGTCATCCACATATAGACATACAATGATATTATATGTGGTATTCCTACTGTAAATTCCATGTTCATTTACACACTTCATGAAACCTTGCTGAAAAAGAAAACTGTCTATTCTCTTGTTCCAAGCCCTTAGGGCTTGCTTCAGCCCATACAGGCCTTTGTTCAGCTTATAAACACGTTCTTCCTTTCCTTCTATCTAAAATCCTGGTGGTTGATTCACATATACTTCTTCTTCTATCTCACCATTCAAAAAGGTTGACTTTACATCTAGCTGATACATAGACCAATTATTCTGAACTGCTATTGCCAAAATCAGTCTGATTATTTCCATTCTTGCTACTGGAGCATAAACTTCATAGTAATCCTGTCCATGACTTTGTAAGAATCCTCTTGCTACTAATCTAGCCTTGTATTTTGCCACTTGCCCATC